CCTATGAGATGATTACATCTGTCACAATCTAACACAACACTTAAGAAGCCACTTGGACTATGATCCAACGGTCCATATTACAACCAGCAGAAATAGCATTTAAACTAAAAGAATAAAATTCAAACTGAAAAAAAAGCTTTGGCGCCAAGGACTTCAGCTCAAAGGGTTATACATCAACAATGACATTGTTACCGAATTGAAGATACTCATGCTTGAGAAGCCACTTGGACTATGATCCAACGACCCATATTACAACCAGCAGAAATAGCATTTAAACTAAAAGAATAAAATTCAAACTAAGAAAAAAGCTTTGGCGCCAAGGACTTCAGCTCAAAGGGTTATACATCAACACTTGGTCTATTTGCAAGAGACGATGAATTAACTCTGACTCTAAGTAAACTTAGAGGAGTATCGAAAAGTATCATTGTCAAGAGCAAAAAGGTTTTGGTTCAATAGGGACAGTCTAGCGAGCCATGATGGAGCCCTACAATGACAAGAGGTTTGACCGATGAGTTATCACTGGCAAGACGCATAGTCGCTTGAGCCTACAATGACAATATCTATGGGAATCAATATAGCAGATAATTTTATATAATTATTCACAATTTGGTAAGACATAACATTATAATAAACTGTTTGAGAAAATTATTTTCAGGAAAAAGAAGTTGAACAGTCAAATATGGCAGTCACAATATAGACATCATGGATTTCAAGCTTTGGGCACATTATTATTTCCTGAAAATTAAAAATTTGTGTGCATTTCTTTAAACTATTTACCTTAGCAGGAATATTGTCATAGATATTGATAATCCCATCATAAAATATTTTCTGAAGTCCTGTTGGATTGATCATCACATCTGTGTATGACACACACAACAAAAATTGAAGAGGACTAACTTCAAAAGGGAAACTAATATTATAACACAAGAAAATAATTAGGGTAATGATTTTGGCACTCTCCTAGTTTAGCTTATAGAAATTCAATTTAATTCCTTTTAAAGACTCTCGGTGGACGTTCTAGAAGCAGAAACGGAGAGTATCAACATCGCTACCCAAACATAATAAGCATATATAATGACGAATGTAAGGAAAACATACCGCAATCAAGGAAGCAACTGTTGCTCTAGCAAAGATAGCCGGTGTCCTGGGAAATTATTACTACCAAGAAATTTAGGTGGTAATAAAGGGCGAGGTGATGAATGCCTTTTGATAATTTCTGATTCAAATTCAGCTTCCATGCTGGTTTTAGCCACGTTATTTTGACTTCTTGTAAGAAGATACTTTCTGAATAACCAAACACTTTGAGACATATTATTCTCTCCATCCATTGATCTTAAGTTGATGTCTCTTTGCTGGTCATCTGGGGTCCTTATAACTTTTTCAAAACCAGAACTATTTTTATTTTTGTCTTCTCCATACAGTTCTTGGTCTGTTTTCATGAAGAAGTCATTTGGTATAATTGGAGTGCTACAAGCCATGATATATATATGCTGCTCTCTCCCAACTTATTCCCAAGAAGTGAACAGAAGTCTTCAAACATATATATATATATATATATACACACCCTTGAGAAAGAAAAACAAAATTGCTGAACATCAAACCCATATAAAGGAAATGAAAATTTCATATATATATATATAGCCAAATCCCCATCATCCCATGACTAGCACAAAACTGAAATGGTATACAAGAAACCCCTTAAATATTACTCAGTGTCGAGGACAAAGATTGGTTGTTTGAAACAGAACAGGTTCAAGGTGACTTAACCTGCATGGTGTTCATTGACAGTTTTGCAGCATCCACAGGGACGTAAGTCCCTGCCAATATCTTTGTTAGTAGAGGAGTCAGGGGTACTGCCCCAAGAGTTGTGCATACCGTCATTACAATAGACAGAGGAACATCCTCTTGAGCAATTAAGGTCACCTGAAAGGCTATTTGATAAAAAGCATTGAATGGAGTTGAATAAATGGGCTAGGCGGGGGCTAGGCGGTCTAGGCAGTTATGTTTAGGGTTTAGAAAAGGGCCGCGCGGCTATACTATTTATAAAAAATAAAAATAAGAAAAAAGACCATAGTAAAGCCGTTCGGCTATACTGTTTTTTTTTTTAAAAATGCCGAGTCTATTTGTTTAAAAGAAAAAAGGAACGCATAGCGCCCAATCAAGAGGGTATAGCCGCCCGGCTATACTAGTCTTTTTTATAATAAAACAACCGAAGTATAGCCATGCGGCTATATCGAAAATCTAGTGCATTAAACATGAAAAATACATACGTACTTGTAAAATGAGTATTAAACATGGAAATGCTAAATTTTTTATACGGCTAATAACTTTGGAAAAGTAAAAACTCAAAAGGGTACAATAGAGACTCGTGTAAAGGCCTAATAGTAATGGAAAATGCTCTAAGCTATCAATAAACAAGCATATCATTATTAGAAATCAGTACTGTAGTATAAGCATATTATTCTTAGAAATCTATTTTCATGCGCGTGATTGTTTGTTCTTTTACGTAAGTTTGGCTTTTGCATATGAATTGTTGTGGAGGAGCTTTCTTGTGGTTCTCGGATCATGATGTCTTTTCTTTTGTAAATTTACAATATCATGATGTTGTAATGGGTAATTTATACGACTACAAAACAAAATTGTTGCTGTAATATCAGAGTGCTTGCTATTGTTGATCTTAAAGATCTATGCATGCATTGTGATTTGATATGTTGGAAATTTGGTGCTCATGTATTGATCAAATTACACTGGTATTAGGCTGCTGCAATTCAGTTGGAAATTAGGGGTGGGGATCGGAGAAGTGCATATATGCAGATGGATGGGGACCCATGGAAGCAGCCAATGCACGAGGAGTATTCAACACTAGTTGAAAAAATGAGCCATCTTGCTGCGGTTGTTCCCTGTTGTCATTATTCTCTGGACAAGAAATATTGTTTGCGCCACCCTCATCAACAGCATTGCTCCCATCATTTGCAGGATCAAAGTCCACCATTAACTGTGGCTTTGATGAATCTAGCTGCACCATCTCTTCTCCATTAGGTAAGGCAGGCCCTGGTGGTGTTTCCGCGGAACAGGGTATACGTATACATTCAAGTCTTGAGTCAAGTCCCTTGTTTGTAGAAGCTTGAACCATTTCGACAAGCCCTTCCTCTTCAAGTATAATTCCAGAAGCAACCTTGAGACTCTGGAAATGATTCTTTATTATTGCCAATAAGGAGCCCAACAAAGTTTGTTGTTCATAACTGTCTGTGATGCTCGGGGGAAGAAAAAATTCTAGAATGTAATCATCATTTCCAGTATGAGTGCTCTGTAAGCAGATTGCAAAACAGCTGGTTAACTTAAACATGCGTGCGTAGTGTACTAAAGGGTAGTCAGTTTTGCAGAACTGGGTAATGTCTCTGCAGAAGCATGCGTTATGGGACAAAAAAGCCCTCCCAGCAACCCCTTGACCCTTTTGTAAGTGATGCTCAACACAGGCCTCTCGAAAATGCCACATAGGAGCATCGACAATGTAGAATGCCGCATCAGTTGTGGACATGCAGACCTGTTCCATGCAACTACCATCAAAGCAAGTACAGTTCTTCTTCAGGCTACCACCATAAGCCAAAACATTGTGATGCATACAAGGAACCCAGGTCTGAGCAAGCGGTAATTTGTGAGTTTCACACACCACTGTCAGTATCTCCAAGATTTCAGTCAATGCAGTTTGGCGACCTTCATTGCATATTTGAATCTGGTTACAAGAAGTGCCAAGCATATATCTGTGAGAATGGAGGAGGAGGAAATGAAAGAAGAAATCCATATTTACTTTCTTGTGTTCCAAAAGAATACCAAATTAGGCACACATTGTTATTGCAGCTCACCTGCATGCTTGTATGATCCAATAT